GCAACAATTGCTTTCAGCCTTGGTGTATTGAATACAAAGAGAAATTGTGTAAATTACTCCCATTCATTAGAAATCCTAAGTAACTGCATTTGTGAGGCCACAAAAGCAGATAGTATATTAGAGTCAAGCTGATCTACCCCCATAGACCTCACCACAATCAGTCACTAGCTAGAATCCTCAAACCCCAACATATAGACACCTGCGTAAACAAGTAGACAATAATGAACTTAAGTGAAGGATAATTTTGACTTAATAATCTAAACTTTTTGCAGCAAGTAGCCAGGTTGGGCTTTATGCCACATAACTTTCAAGTGATTTAATGAATACCTTTATTATGAAAATAATAGCACATTATGTAGGATAGAAAGTTTATAATCTTTTAGTAGAAACAAGAAGAAACAGTTTATTCACATACTGGGAAAGTAGATGAAGGTCAGTCTGAACATCACAGAAGTATTTTTGTCAAGGTTATCTAATGACCAGGTGCAAGGATGTTGTGACTAACTGTGTAATAATTCAAGAAATGATAAAAGTGTCAATGCATGTACTGTGTAGTTTTAAGTATAAAAAATAAAGACTTGCTGAGCTGGACCAGCAGAAAGTAGGAGGAAGAGAAAGAAGGCAGAAGCAGAAAGTAGGAGGAAGAGAAAGAGGGCAGAAGCAGCAGAGGAAAGGAGAGAGGAGGAAGGAAGCAGAAGGCAAACAGCATAAGGCATAAAGCAGAAAGAAGTAGGAGGCAGAGGCAGTAGGGGCAGAGGCAGAAAGAAAGCAGAAGGCAGAAGCTGGAGAGAACAGCCGGACAGCACAGCAAGCTGAAAAACCTTTCGATTGTATTCATTTCTTCATCTGACGATTCCACGTATCCTCTCGTGTCCCATGACCCCCACGGAGAGCCGGTCTCCCCACACAACACCATTCCTTTTCAATTTGTCATTCCCTGCATAGTAAACCATGTGGTTATTCGAGTCAAAATGGCCAATACCAGTCCATTTCAGCTCACTAATGCCTAAGATATCTATGTTTATGCATTTCATTTCATTTTTGACAACTTCCAATTTTCCCAGATTCATACCTTGTACATTCCATGTTTCGGTTTTCAATGTATGTTTACAGCTGTTTCTTTTCATTTTGAGTTGTGCCCCAACAGCAAATGAAGGTTCTGTGGGCTTTTCTCCCACAAGCTTAACTCCATTCACATCATCATGGTCAACTCTACTTTGAGGAGGCATATCTTCCCCAGTTGCGTTTTGAGTTCCTTCCAACCTGAGGGGCTCATTTTCTGGCACTGTATCTGACAGTGTTTCTCTGTTATTCATAAGGTTTTCAGTAACTAATGATTTGGAAGTAGTTTGTCACTCTTTCTTCCTAGTCTGTCTTTGTCTGGAAGCTCATCTGAAATCTGTCCACCATGGGTGACCCTGTTGGTTTTTTTAAATACCGGTAGCATATAGCCCTCAGAATCACAGCAACTCAAGCCCCCACAGCACGACAGACAGACGTGTGGTGGACGTTTGGTTTTATGTAGAAACTGTCACTTTAAATTTCGAGGAGATCTGTGTGCATGCATAGTAGAACCCTCCAGGGGTGGGGGTGGGGTATCCATTTGCTCAGGTATCCCCTCTAGTTACCAGAATGGAGGTGCTCAGTCCTGAGACCAATGAACAATGGACAGATACAAAAAAAAACAGAATGTCCACACCTGTATCGCCTCTGTTCTGTCAGGCATTCGTGCCTGCTCTGATCCTTCTCCCACTTGTTCTCTCCCAAGATGGCGGTTCTGGGAATAGCTGAGCATCTTGAATTAGAAAGCAATGGATTTCTTGATTCTCCTACAAATTCCCCTAGCTGTAGCCTTCCAATCCTCTAAATATTCCTTTATATGCAGTTCAGAGTTCCAGCACTATCTATCTATCTATCTATATTCCTATATCTATCTATATCTATCTAGCTATATATCTATCTAGCTATATATATGGAGAGAGAGATAGATGGAGATAAAGATAGAGAGAGAAACAGAGAGACAGATGGACAAAATGTACTGAAAAGCAAGGATATTATGTCAAAAAATGATGTATTTCTATTTTCTAAAAGTTGATTAAAATAAATGGTACAGCCAGAGTGCAGATAATTGTTAATACACCACTCCTTGAAAACCCTTTACAGAGTTGCTATGAGTTAGACCCAACTCGATGGCACTTGACAACAACATATGTATATATATATGGGTTTGATATACCTTAATGTTATATATTGTTGTTGTTGTTATGTGCTGTGGAGTAAGTTCCAACTCATAGTGACCCTGTACAGGGTTTCTGAGGTTGTAAATCTTTATGGGAGCAGAAAGCATCATCTTTCTCCCTCGGAACAGCTGGTAGTTTCAAACTGACCTTGCGGTTCGCAGCCCGATTCATAACCACTACCAGAGTTCCTTAATGTTATATATTAGTATTCATCAAATAAGGTGAAATTCACAGCAAAATAGCATCTTAATAAGAAATGTCTTACAGAAAAATTGTTTTAGCTAATCCATTCAATCAACACTATGCGATAAAGTTAGACAAACTACAGCTGGTTTAGAACGCATTTATTCTCATGAAAAGAAATATTTTAGACATGTGGGTAAGTTTCCTGTCTAGAATATAACTCTTTAAAGAGAAAGAAGAATATCTGATTTACTGAGAATCTCCAATAAATTCCTCAGAGGGTTAAAATATTGCATCGACACAGATGGCCCCAAAGTTCTACTTTCTATAGAATCCCTTGTGCTTCTCTGGAAGTTACCATTATTTAGATAATGAGCTAAACTCTGGCTTCAGGTTGCGATTTCACATCATTGGCTAGATGTCTCTTGGGCTCCGCTGGCCAAGACATTGACATTCTAAATATAGGCGCCTTTCTAAAAGGCTGTGTTGTTGTCTTTAAGCTGATTCTGACTCACTGAGACCTATGTGTGCAGAATAAAAAGGTTGTAACCTTTCAGAAGTGGATCACCAGGTCTGTTTTCCAAGGTGCTTCTTGGTGGGTTTGAAGCACCAACTCATTGTTTAGTCATTGGGCACTTAGCCGTTTGTACAACACAGGGACTCCTCTGAAAGGTTAGATCTAAATTTTTCAATTATCTTTACTTGTTTGTTCAGATTTATCATTTAAAACAAATAAGATGTTTAAGTGACAGGACCTGAGATGGAATGAAAGCAATTCTGTGCTTCTATAGTTGAGTATCTCCACTGTGTCTACCAAAGAAGAGGTTCAAGGATGAGAATATGAGAGATGTTTCCTTTGAAATTATCAATAGTATGACTTTTCTATTTCTTGCCATTTGTGTCTACAAGAAAATACATGTATTATGTGCTGTTTTTATCATCAATCTTAGAAGAATTGATTCTTTTCTATGTGAATAATGACTGACCTTAGATAGGCTCATTTATCTAACAGGACAAAAAAACAGATGCATTCTGCACCAGAAAAACTGGAGTTTTAGAGGTGAAGTATGAGTTCTCTGAATATTTTCCCTCCTTATTCCCAGCTCTTTCTAATTATGTTTCTTTCTTATTCAACCTTCTCTTACTGCCTCTTTAAACATGTCCATCACTTTTCCATTTTCTTCTTTCTGTGCTTCCCCTTGCTAACCTCTGTGTGTCAGTGTTTTATTGCCTTTCCTCTTTTTGGAACCTTGTCCTCAGCTGCTCAGGAAGGATGCTGTCCTTTCCTAGATCAGAATGAGCTTTGACAATGAAGACTCCTCGCATTTTGGCCTCAAACTCTGCATGGTCTGGGGCTCTGAAGGATTAGGGAATGCTAATTGCCATCAGCCTCAAGCTTCTGATTCTAAGGAGAAGAGGAGATAGATAGTAGGTTAAAAGATATATAATCACAGTGTTCATAAAGGAGGTACATTTGAAAGACAGTTTCATGCTTATATCTTCCAGAGTTGTTTCAATTTATTTATAGATCCACATTTATTCTAATGAAATTAATACCTAGTGATTGGATTTAATCACTTACTAGTAGGGATTGCAGTGGATGGTCCTTATTTGGGATGACAGTGGGTCGTATGGGGAGTGCTGAGAGGTCTGAGTAAGATGGGAAGCTGATATCAGATGATAGAGGCATTTGAATATCAAGCATAAATTTAATTTTATTTTGTGGGCAGTGATCAAGAGGCATTTTTATTTAAAAGGAACAACTCCTGATGTAGTAATATAGCATAGATACCAACCCAATCAATGTGGAAACATAGATACCATATTGGAGTCTTGCATTTTCTCATCCATAGCCCTGGTGTGGCACTGTTGGATAAGCAGAGACTGACTGGTAACCACAAGGTCGGCAGTTCCAGCCCACAAGTCATTCTCAGAAATCTTAGACAAGATCACTTAGACATGAGTCAGAACTGACTCAATGTCACAACACACACACACAAACCAAGAAATAGTTTAGACATTTTCTCTTTCATTGTAATCAAGTTTCCTTTCACTTGCCCACATGTAATTACAATTAAAGTAAGCAATATATGTAAAATTGCCATACAAATGACAAAAATCTGAACAAACACAACATGCTTTCTTTGAACACTAATGAATTATGAAAGGGTGTTGAATAAAGAATTGAAGAATAAGAGACAAGAGAGAGCAGAGATGTGGTACAACTACTTTCAGAAGTATCCTAGAATGCACAAGAGATAATGAAGCTAAACAAAATGAAGAGCCCAATTAACTGACTAAAGAAGGTTTCATAAATTAACATATGGTAAGAGCAGAATAATAAATATTAGATTCACAATGTAGCATGCTTGATCATGGGAGTTCAGACAGGGTGACAAAATTTTTAACTTAAACCCTGAAGCATAAGTAAGGGCAACTTTGAAATTTTTATGATGAAATACAGACTGAAGAGAATAGAATGTATAGAGAGAAGATGAGGTTATCCTGGGCATAGGCAGGTCCAGGAGAGCTAAATCCACTGACTGTTCTTATTTTACAGAATAAATGAGTTTCTAAATGGCCTGGGGGAACCACAGCACCATCACTGAATTCTTCCTCCTCGGACTGTCTACTGATCCCAAAATCCAAGTTCTGCTCTTTGTATTATTCCTGGGAATTTACCTCCAGACCCTGATGGGAAATCTGTTGATGCTTCTGGTCATCTGGGTAGATTTTCATCTCCACACACCCATGTACTTCTTCCTGAGTCACCTCTCTTTTCTGGATCTTTGCTTCTCTTCTACCACAGTGCCCAAACTGCTGGAAAATCTAATATCTCAAAGAAAAACCATCTCTATGCAAGGCTGTCTGGCTCAAGCCTATTTTTTGTTTGCTATTGGAGGCACTGAAGTCTGCCTGCTTGCAGTGATGGCCTATGACCGCTATGTTGCCATATGCCATCCTCTGCTCTACAGCCAGATGATGAGCAACCAACTCTGTAAGGGACTGGTGTGGGGATCCTGGAGCGTAGGCTTCCTAGATGCACTCATCAACATTCTTATAGCTCTGGACTTGGACTTCTGTAAAGATAAGTGTATCCCCCACTATAGTTGTGAACTGCCCTCACTCTTCCCTCTGTCCTGCTCTGATGTTTCCACCAATGTTACTGTTATGCTCTGCTCCAGCCTCCTGCATGGACTTGGAACCTGTGTTCTAATCATTTTCTCCTATACTCTCATCGTCTCCACCATCCTGAGCATCAGCTCCTCCACAGGTAGAAGCAAAGCCTTCTCCACCTGCTCCTCCCACATCACTGCAGTGCTCCTATTTTATTGCACATCTTTCATTTGCTATGTCATGCCAAACCCAGATTCACCAATGGAGTTGATATTCTCTGTGCAGTATAATGTGATAACTCCCCTAGTGAATCCACTCATTTACAGCCTGAAGAACAATGAGGTAAAAGTAGCTGTGAGGAGGACTTTTAGAAAATACCTTCAATATCTACGGTAGCTGACATAGACAGAGTATGATGGAAAACTAGTGTATAACAGGACGACACCTGATGAGTGTGAATAAGAGAATTTCCTAATTGCCCTGCTATTGGATACAATCGCAAACAAAAAATGTATCCTAGAAATTCATAGAGTTATATGGAAAAGAGTATTCAGATTTATTCTGGCTTAGAGGTAGAGTAAAGCATCAAATAATGACAGTAATCTAGTCATTTTCCTTGGATAGCTTTGATAGCCAAGGTTGTGTGTCAACTTGGGTAGGCCAGAATTCTCAGTGGTTTAGCAGTTAAGATGTAGTCATCTTTTATGATGAGATCTAATATAAAGTAATTCCCTCCAAGAGGAAATTGGCCATAGGTACTCAATCAATTGAAAAGGAGTTTCCTCAGAGCTGTAACCTGCTTCCAGTATATGTGGATGCTCTGGTAATGCTTGCTTTTTGCTGGTTATGGATTCTGCATCTGGCTCACCATCTGACGTCTGGATTTGGGGACTTGAGCCAGTGAGCTCCCATATTGCCTGCTGATCCAATAGAAAACTCCATCCTGACATGTGACTCATGAGTTTGGAACTTGCCAACCTGTACCACAGTGTAAGCCATATCCTTGAGATTAGCCTTTCTCTATATAGATAGATATAGATATGGACATGGACATAGATATAGATATGGTGGTTTTGTGCCGTGGAGTCGGTTCCAACTCAAAATGATCCTGTACAGGGTTTCCGAGGCTGTAAATCTTTATGGGAGCAGAAAACCTCATCTTTCTCCCACAGAACAGCTGGTAGTTTTGAACTGCTGACCTTGCAGTTCACAGGCCAGACCTCCTTGATATAGGTATAGATATATACATATAGAGGAATCACTACTTTTGCTTCTCTAGAGAACCCCGCCTGCTCCATTTGTTACCAGGAACAGTTTTAGTGTACTGCTGTTGTTGTTGTTAAGTGCCGCTGAGTCAGTTCCAACCCATAGTGACCCTGTATAGGGTTTCCAAGGAAAGGCTGGTGGGGTTGAACCACTGACCTTGTGGTTCAAAACTGACCTTGCGGGCCAGCACATTATCCTGCATTGCCACCCCAGGATCCTCTAGTATGCTAGGGAAACAAAATTGTAAGGAAAAGTTTTCTAAATTGGTTCTCAACTCTGATAAGTTTTAAAGGCACTGATAACTTTGTCTCCATTATTAAAGAGGACACTGCTGACCCATGGTGTGAGGTGGCAAAAGATTAAATATTGGTGCAAGCAAGGCTGTGGGTGATCATATGTTTGATATTTTCCTGCAATTTTGTCAGGATGAGACTTATAGGGAAGCTGGTTGGTTGGTCCTACTTAAACTAGAAAAGTAGTCAAGGAAAGAGATGAGATCCGGGCCTCAGAGTCACAGCTCAAGCACCACATAAAATAAATCAAAGTTTCCAATCGTGCCCTGAAAGAAGGCCTTATTTCTTATAGTAACAGAATCAATATTGCTGAAAACCAAACCCAGAATCTTATCATCAGAGTTGCTGAATTACAACACCAACCAAATTCCCAACTTTGAATAGTGTCTGATGTTAAAGTGAGGGCAATGATTGAAGAAATGAGATCCTGAAACTTAGGATGAGGACTAATGGGCACATCATCAGGAAGTTGAGGACATTGAGTGCCTAAATTCCATTGAATCACTTTTGCCAAAGAACAAGTTCTGCCCTCTTACCCTTATGTTATGTGATTAACCTAGGAGCTTGATGAGTAATTTTCTAAGATATCACCTGGGGAATTTTCTGGAACATCTCCTGAAGCAGATGTCTTACAAGACATAGCTGAATATTCCAGAGACAAACCCTCACCACCAATTATCGCTTCTAGACATATAAATAGATTTAAACCAAAGTGAACCCCAAAAGGTGACATACAAATTGTGATCGGTGAACAGATATGCTACATTCCATAAGAACTGCTTTGATTTTTTCTAATATGTTCAAACAGAAACCTGAGGAACATGTGTGGGAGTGTCTTTTAAGGGAATGAAATAATGGTTCAAAGATAGTAAATATGGGTGGGAATGGCTACTAAAGAAGAGGGATAATAGTGCAGGGAACACAAATTTAGATCCTTCTCTGAGCTTATTGATATGGGCACACTAAGCCCAGATATTTCAGTTCAATGTTTTAGCTCAAGAGGTTACAAAAGGATTTGGTGGTTAGGTTAGTTCACTGTTGTTGTTGTTAGGTGCCATCGAGTCAGTACTGACCGATAGCGACCTTATGCACAGCAGAACGAAACACTGCCCAATCCTGGGTCAACCTCCCTATTGTTGCCACGCTTGAGTCCATCGATGCTGCCGCTTGGCCAATCCACCTCGTTGGGGGTCTTCCTCTTTTCCTCTGACCCTCCACCTTACCAAACATGATATCCTTCTCCAGCGACTGCTCCCTCCTGACAATATGTCCAAAGTATGAGAGACAAAGTTTGGTCATCCTGGCCTCTAAGGAACATTCTGGCTGCACTTCTTCCAAAATGGATCTATTGGTTCCTTTGGCCACCCGTGGCACTTTCAATATTATCCTCCAACACCATAACTCAAAAGCTTCAATTTTTCTATGGTCTTCCTTATTACTGTCCAGCTTTCGCATGCATATGAGGTTATTGAAAATATCAGGCTTGGGGCAGGCACACCTTAGTTCTCAAGCTGACATCTTTGCATCTCAACACTTTAAAAAGGTCTTGTGCAGCAAATTTGCCTAATGCAATAAGTCATTTGATTTCTTGACTGCTTCTTCCGTGAGCATTGATAGTTGAACCAAGAAGAATGAAGTCCTTGACAACTTCAATCTTTTCCCTGTTGATAAGAATGTTGTTTATTGGTCCAGGGGTGAGGATTTTTGTTTTCTTGACATTGAGATGTAATCTATACCGAAGGCTGTGCTCTTTGATCTTCATCAGTAAATGTTTTAAGTCCTCTTCACTTTCAGCAAGCAAGGTTGTATCGTCTCCATATCATAGGTTGTTAATGAGTCTTCCTCCAATACTGATGCCATGTTTTTCTTCATAGAACTCAGCTTCTTGAATTATTTGCTCAGCATACAGGTTGAATAAGTATGGTGAAAGAATACAACCTTGTTGCACACCTTTCTTAATTTTAAAACATTCAGTGTTCCCATGTTCTGTTCGAACAACTGCCTCTTGGTCCAGGTACAGATTCCTCATGAGCATAATTAAGTGTTCCGGAATACTCACACTTCGCAATGTTGTCCATAGCTTGTCATAATCCACACAATCGAAAGCCTTTGCGTAGTCAATAAAGCATAGGTAAACATCTTTCTGATATCCATCGGACATCAGCAATGATATTCCTCATTCCACGGCCTCTTCTGAATCCAGCTTGAACCTCTGGAAGTTCTCTGTCAATGTATGATTTAGTTAGTTCACTAAAGCATTGATAATGTACTGGACTTCAACAAGTCAAGTTATAGTATACTGTAGAAGAAGATATCCAATGGATTAGGGAAATTAGCATATTAGAGAGGATTTATCAGATTAGACCCATAGACCTACACAGAGAGTGCACAGAGAACACACCTTTTACCACAACAATGAAATAAATTTGTGAAACAAGCCCCAGCATCCTTGAAGACTGTCATAATTGGTATTTTATGTAAGTTAGATTTGACGTTAGGAACTGCCCTCATTGAATTAAGACATCTAACTACAATGGGACTGATTCGAGCTCTGGTGGTAGATTCAAGTGGCAGCACTTATTCTAAAAGACAAGGCAGGCACGGTTACTATAATGGACTGCAGACTCAAAGTAGTCATCAAAATAGTCTGACTAATATGAACTTAAGGCATTGGCTACTTAGGCAGAATAGCCTTATGAGTGAAATAGATGGGAAATGAACTAAATGTTTATTTGATCAAGCAGAGGAATTCTAGGTCAAGTGAATGATGGTTCATTACGCTAACTTGAATTGCCATAATAGAAAAGTCATGGCCCCTAAATCAATTCCTACATTTGAGCCAGTTTTCAGACCAACAACCCCTTGAATAAAGATGAATTTGGGTCCCATTCAAGAAGGACCCCACAACACCACAAAAAATGTATATTGTTAATCTTTCTCCCAAACTTCCCCAAAGGGATCTATAGCTTTTTACATATTCTTTGGGGAAAAGGAAATTATAAAACTTTTTGAGGATTACTGGACACTGCTTCTGCATTGATACTAATTCCAGGAGACTTAAAATATCACTGTGTCCCATCAGTGACAGTAGATACAGTGTGATGAATGATTTCTATGGTTCTTCTACCAATAGCCCTTGAAACTCCCACTAAACAATTTTTTTTCTGGATAAATGTGGGTAAGAAAAAGTGGGAGAAGATGCTGATAGGATGATATGATTCAGTTGTGAATGATTGTCAACAAGCCTAATTATGATTTTAAAAACTTGGAATTTTAAGCCTTCTCAGAAGCAGGAAAGGGACTCTCATTACTATCAAAGAAAAAGAGTCAGAAGTGTAGCCTATACTTTGGACCTAAGATCCTTGGGCATTGAACATCTTTGACCCAGGAACATAAAGCAATAACACCAGAGAAGTAGCAGAGGAACAACAGTAGCAGAACCAAGAGCCAAACACCAGACAGAGCAATGGCTTCCCAGTACACAGAGCAAGTAAAGCTGAGGGACTTCGGGCAGGAAGCTTGCTTTCAGAGTGGCCTGCCTCTAAGTATTTAATTAGGGGACTTAGGTTTGCTGATACATGGAGCTAGAGCCTAGGGCTTTAAGGCTGAGACTTATGGTAGAGTAATGTTTCCTGTGGGCATTTATCAGCAGCCCTAAAAAAATATTTGTAACATTGGCCAGGCCTGCCTATGAGCTTGGCTGAAGAGAGGCTGTTCTGACTGGAACAACTGTGCCCTGAGCAATTCTGACCCCAAATTGTAACCTGTTAACTTAGTGATCAAACCTCATAACTGTAAATATGATGTCTGAGTTCTGGGTGGTCATTGCAATGAATT